AGTGGGCGGAAAGTGTCCTCGGGCCAGAGGGAACTCCTTACCATAGAGGGCTCTCAAGATGAGCTCGCTCAGGTTGTGGTGGTGGTGGTGGTGATCATCACTCGAGGTCCATTGATCATCCAAAAAAAGGTGACCGAGGTGAACGGCGCCCAGCTGGTGGTGAATGGTGGCGTACAGCGGAAGAAGGTCGTCGTGCAGCAGGTGCATCCAGTTGTTGGGCTTGAAGCGGCTGGCGATCAAGGTGTGCCCGGGCACGAGGTAAACAATGTTGTTGACCAGCTGCTGCTGACCCAGTGCCGGGTAGGGCACCGTGACCAGGTGCTTGAAGGAGAAGAGGTTGTGGTCGACGACCGGGGAGAGCTGGCCGAGCTCCAGTTCCTCCTCGGTGGTTCGAAGTTTAGGCGGGTAAAAGATGGAGCGGTCGATGTCCAGCGCAAAGATGTACTCGTGGGTGGTCAGGTTCAGACAGAGCGACTCGAAGCGGCAGTTTGTTGGTCCTCCTCCAAGGCTGTCAGANGACAGAGCGACTCGAAGCGGCAGTTTGTTGGTCCTCCTCCAAGGCCGTCGGTGCACCAGATGGAGGAGGGGCTGTGAAGAAAAAAAGAAGGAGATTAAGCTCGAAAATGTTTGGTATTAGAGGGCAAAAAATGCCATTTTCCCACTCAAAACTGTTCATTTGAGCTGCGCTGACTGGCGTTAAAAAGCAGAAACGTCANAGATGTACTCGTGGGTGGTCAGGTTCAGACAGAGCGACTCGAAGCGGCAGTTTGTTGGTCCTCCTCCAAGGCTGTCAGAGCACCAGATGGAGGAGGGGCTGTGAAGAAAAAGGAGGAGATTAAGCTCGAAAATGTTTGGTATTGGAGGGCGAAAAATGCCATTTCCCACTCAAAACTGTTCATTTGAGCTGCGCTGACTGGCATTAAAAGGCAGAAACGACCTCAGACAGTAGGGGCCTAGCTAAAAATGCGGTAAAAGGGGGTAAAATGGGCGTGTCATGAGTGGGGTTCGAACCCACGCCCTCATCAGAGGATCAGATCTTAAGTCTGACGCCTTGGACCACTCGGCCATCATGACTGTGCAGATGGAGAGTAGGCAGCCGGTGATCGCTATAAGGATGCCCAGTGCAGCACCGACTCATCCACTTCCCGGGGTGGGGCGGTGCAAGACGGGCTGCGCCGCCCAGTTCACAGTGGACGTGACAGCGGGTAGCTGAGGTGCAGAAAGAATCCAGGGGTGGGCGCCACGGCACATCTTTCCCTTGCGAATCCTCCCCAAAAACGAGCTACAGTTTGTGCTGATTTAGCAGGCNATGCCCAGTGCAGCACCGACTCATCCACTTCCCGGGGTGGGGCGGTGCAAGACGGGCTGCGCCGCCCAGTTCACAGTGGACGTGACAGCAGGTAGCTGAGGTGCAGAAAGAATCCAGGGGTGGGCGCCGCGGCACATCTTTCCCTTGCGAATCCTCCCCAAAAACGGGCTACAGTTTGTGCTGATTTAGCAGGCAAAAATTCTAGTTGATTGGGTAGAAATGCTAACATAAAAGCAGAGCTACCGCTAAAATCTGGTCNCAAAAATTCTAGTTGATCGGGTAGAAATGCTAACATAAAAGCAGAGCAACTGCTAAAATCTAGTCANCAAAAATTCTAGTTGATCGGGTAGAAATGCTAACATAAAAGCAGAGCAACCGCTAAAATCTGGTCAAAAATGTGATCAAGAGCGGAAAAGGGCTCAAGGTCAGCTGCAATGGAGCAGAAAAGTGAAGGCAAATATTTACCGTAACGAGTCAAGTGAGGTGATTCGAAATTGCTCCACAGTTTGGTACCGAGAATTTGTCTTCTGCTGCTGCTGCTGCTGATTACCTTGATGACAGTGCATGAACCAGGCCCCAAGTGAAGGCCAAGATTGACAGATAACATCGTCAGGCAGAAGAAGAAAGGGCAGTGTAAGTGCCGCCAGAAGAGTGGCGACGGCCAATGAGATCCACCGCTTGGTTGTCATCACTGCCATCGCGTCCTTCCCTGTCATCAAGTGGTGGTGGCATCAAATGGACCATCAGAAAAGGGTAGTCCAAATCGGGTAACGGGATCATTCGCCATGGTGTGTGTGTGTCTTCAGCCGTCTTCAATCAGCAAAGGCGATGATCTGGAAAACTGCTGCTGCTGCTACTGCACGCGCAATCTTTTGCACACTGCCTGCAAAAAGTGTACACAGAAAAACACGTCTTCTGTGGAGAAACATCAAAACTGTATTTTGGCAAATCAAAAATCTGTTTTGAAACAATTTTTAATTTAGTGCATTTTATTAAATTCGTAAGTGGGAGTGGTAGTTCAGTTTGTTATGTTATGTTATTATATGGTTGTTGTAAGTACAATTCAGGTCAGTTCGTCTCGAGGAGGTGGGAGAGCTCGGTGAGGAAGCTCATCCGCTCCGAGTAGGGAATGTAGACGATGTCCGGGTCGACGATGCTCTCCTCGTAGGTCCACAGCGGGTTGGTGCGCGCCAGCTTGCGGCTGATGTTGCTGAAGGCCTGCTTGAAGAAGGTGCGGCAGTCCTTGAGGGCGAGGAGGGGGGAGATGCCGCAGACGATGCCCATGCCGGGCCGGTCGGGGTCGGGGCTGATGAAGACGAGAGGGAGGCGGAAGTTCCGCGGCGCCTTCGAGTGGACGGCGGCGTTGGCGTGCAGCGCGTAGATGGAGAGCGTCCGCAGACAGGCGGGGTGGCAGAAGAGCGCCTCGTCGGGCGTCCCCTCGGGGATGACCACGTAGAGGAGGACGTTGTTGAGGAGGGACATCAGGTGGGCGTCCATTATGAGGCTGACCTGCTTGACGATGCTGATCAGCTGCAGCTTGGCCAGCTCCAGGCCGGCCTCCATCAGGGCGGCGCCCGAGGCCCAGGAGAGCGAGTCGTAGGCGTCGAAGAACTTCTGGTTGAGCCGCTTGTCCTTCTCGGGCGACTCGAGGAGGGCGCGACTGGCGGCGGCCAGGTCGGCGGCGCAGTAGCGCTGGTGGAGGGCGCGGCTCGCCTGGAAGCTGCCGCCCGAGGTGATGATCCGCCCCAGGCCGTACTTCTCCATCTTCGCCTCGATGGCGGCGGTCAGAGAGCGCCGCAGGTCGAGGTCCATCGACTGGTACCGCTGGCGGCACTGGCTGAGGGGAATGCCCAGGTCGGCGAGGAAGGTGTGGAGGCGCTTGCTGCCCCGTTGCTTCCAGATCTTGAACTTGCAGGCGACGTAGAGGGTGTGGCGGAGACTTTCGTAGATGGACCACTCGCGGTAAAGCTTCAGCGCGAGGTCCTTCTCGTAGGCGATGGCCAGGTGGTTGGTGGTGGTGACCAGCTCCGGCTGGTCTGCCTGGCCCGGGACGTCGCCAGGACCGGCGGCGGCGGCGGCCCCAGCGTTGTTCACCCCCGCCGCCGAGTTGACCACAAAGCCGCGGTCGGAGCGAATGTTCCGCAGGCGGAGCATCGAGCTGTGCAGGTACTCCACCTCGCGCCTCGTCAGCTCCTCCTTCAGCTTGAAGCTGTCCGCCTTGTCCACCACGGCGAGGATGGCCATCCACAGCAGCTCGTTGCTGTCCTTGCCCAGCTTCCAGGCGAGGTCGAAGAAGATGAGGGCGGTGGAGTAGGAGTAGCGGGAGTACTCCTCGTACTCGGCCAGCACCTTGCTGCGCGTCGCCTCGAAGGCGCGGAACTCGTTGCGCCTCTTCAGCTGCGCCAGGGAGAGGTTCTGGACGTCCTCCTCCTCGTCGTCGTCCTCGATGTCGTCATCCCAGAAGAGCTGCTCGTACTTCGGTATAGTGGCAAACTCGTCCTCGATGTTGTTCAGGCCGCTGATGGCGCACATGATGTAGACGTTGCTGTCGTAGTAGACGTTGTGCACGTTGAAGGGCCGCTGCGAGTCGGCGACGAAGATCCGGACGTCAGGGTCAGGGACGAAGAGGTCCAGGATGTCGAAGGTGACGCCGAGGTTGATCAGCAGGACGAACTTGATGTTCTCGCGGTGCTCCTGGTAGCTGCGCTGCAGCTCGGCCCGCGTCCGAATGGGGAGGATGGTGTGGCGGATGTGGTCGCACTCGAAGATGTAGCGGACGATCTTCGCCGCCGCGATCGAGTCCAGGTCGTGGCTGACGAAGACGAGCACGTGAGAGCGCTCCCGGGCGACAATGTCGTAGAACTCCTTGCGGTTGTCGCTGATCAGCATGCTGGTGGAGGTGGTGGTGGTGGTGATGGAGGGGGTGATCAAGAGGAGGAGGAGGTGATGAGGATCACGGGAGATTCAGTGGGAGAAACGACGGGTGTTAAAGTCCTCAGAAAGCGGCAACACTGAAACGGTCGTTCCGCAAAAAGAGAAATCAACACACAACAGACGACGCAAAAACAAAACAGCGCGAAAAAGGCGCGAACTCGCCGTGCGCAGCGGCGGATCGCGCCCTCTGGCCGCCGGAGGGAAAAACGGCGCTAGAGCGGGATTTTTCTAGATCCAGCTGATCGGTGATGAATTTGAAAAACTGCTTTTAGAACATTTGAAACGCACAACAATCAGAACCGTATAAAAGAAGTAGCTCAACTAAAAGAAGTTCTGTCATATTTTTCATTTCACTCTTCGTTTGTTGTGACGTGTCCAAGTGGGAAGTGTCTGTTAGCCTTTTAACTCTAAGCCTTTTCACATCACCTACTAGATCCTGAACTCCAGAACCGACTACTCTGATTGATGCTTAGGTAAACCGTCGTTTTTCTCACCCACACCCTTTTAAAGATTCTCATTTCTTTCTCTCCGAGTAAATCATCAACATCAACAACAGCTAGAACAACGGCAACGACCACTTGACAGCGGCAACACTAGGTAGCGCCATGACCACCACCAAGCTCCGTCTGTGGTTTGAAATCGAAACACCGAAAGTGGCGGCGACGATGGCCAGAATCTCCGCGTCCTCTGTTCGTTTTCCCATCCTCTTCACTGCGCCCTCTTCTCCTGTACCTGCTGCTCTGCTCTGCTCTGCTCTCCATTTGGTGAGTTTGTGTCTGTGAATNCGGCGACGATGGCCAGAATCTCCGCGTCCTCTGTTCGTTTTCCCATCCTCTTCACTGCGCCCTCTTCTCCTGTACCTGCTGCTCTGCTCTCCATTCGGTGAGTTTGTGTCTGTGAATTTGTGTCTCTGTGATTGCTGCTGAACAAGGAGGCCGGAGGCGCAAGGCGACGAAGGTGCAATCACACAGTGTGCCTCGTCTGGCAGACTCCTCTGCCTCACATCAAAGCTCCCTCTCTCTCTCTCTCTCTCTCACCTGGCCTTGGACGACCTGTGCACAGACACCGCGGAGCGACATGGCGAGAATGAATTACCTGAGAGAGAGGGAGAGGGAGAGTGGGGCATCCAAGAGAGGGAGGCACACAGAAGACAACGACAACAACAACGACAGTGGTCAGGGGGCCACCGAAGACTGAAGACAAACACAGAGACAGCTGCTGACCAGTGGTCAAGTGGTGGACACTAAAGCAGCAGCAGCAGCTAATCCATTTGGGAGCCACCACCAGTGATTGCCTGCCACCACCGCAGATGCTGCTGCTGATTGCCTTCAATTTCGATTTAGAAGCTGCACTGATGCACTGAAACACTTCCGTCGGAGACAGCAGTGAGCAAAAGCGAAGACCTTGAACATTGGCCGATTGGACGCTGATGGCGGCGGCTGTGGCGCGACGCCATGAGAACGGACGGTGGAGGAGCGAACTGATCATCGCCACCGCCACCACCACCACCAGCCATCCCCATCGCTGTCATCCCTGCCCCGACACACTAACACACAGACACAGCACAAGCACTCACACAGGACATGAGCGAGGAGCGAAAGCGAACGATTACTTCGGTGAGAGAGTGAGCACGCCCGACGGCGACTGAGGACGGCAGCCAGCGATGAGGACGGCAGCGGCTCCGTCGTCAGTAGGGTAATGGGGCAAAGGGCACTGCTGGAGGAGAGGCAGAGAATGAAGAGCGAAGAGCTTCAAGGACGACCGGGGGCAGGCAGCAGAGAGAGAGAGAGCGCGAGAGTGGAGAAGATTCAGCTCGCATCTGGAAGCCGGC